TAGTACTACTGGTGCTACTAGTAGGACTACTTCTACTACTACTACTACTACTACTATACTACTACTAATACTACTACTACTACTACTACTACAGCCACTACTACTACTACCACTGCTGCTGCTGCTGCTTCTACTACTCCTGCTACTACTACTACTACTACTACGACTACTATTACTATACTATACTATACTATACTATGGACGGGCTCGCACGAATACCGGTCGGAGGAGCACATGCAGTACCATCTCCGGAAGCTCACCCAGGTGGTTCTCAGGCAGGAACGCACTCTGGCCTCGGTCAGACAGGACCTAGTCATGCACCTCTTTGTGAAGACGGGGAGAGAGAGCGGGAACATCATCCCCACGCTCTTCAGAGCAGCGGAGGTATGGAGAGAGATGAAGGAGCAGGAGCCGGCCAAGATCCAGTACTCTCTAAAGATAATGCTGTTCAAACAGCTGCTCATGAGCCTCCACGAAAGACTGGAAGCGACGGCTGCCAATCAAGAAGCCATGAAAGCGGCCCGGGACCTAAATTGGATCGACAACCACCAGCAGTGGCAAACCCTACGCTGGTGTGCCGAGACCCAACAGCTCAAGCTCGTACCACAGGCGGCCACCAAGTCCACCGAGGACCTACTCCGGCAGCTCGTGGAGATCCGGAAGAATGTGACGGAGGAGACATTGCACCATTTCAAGAGTGTCAGAAAGTTGGTGCCGAATCCGACGACGCAATGGGTTCAGTTCCAAGTGGAAGTCTCCCTCAGGTCGGGCGGCAACCCGATATGGGCCATCCTTCAGGAGTGGGTGGGCATGGCAGCATGGCATACCATCGGTTGCCGTCTCCGTCGCGATCGCCCGGGCTACGACAACGCGGTCGACGAGTTTTATCAGCTGAACAAATGGTGATCAGACAGGCTTCGCTCACTGCACTCAAAACGATCCTCAAGCTTGCCATGCATAACAGTACCTCGTTATGCTACCTTAACTCCACGCTGCAAAGCTTATTATGGACCTTGCTGCAGGCGCGACTACATGGGGAGCACTATATTTTCATTGCCCCGTGCTTACAAGCTCTCTGCGTGCCGGCTCCGACAGCCTCCACCACCAAGGTCACCGGGGAACTGCAATGAGCTGCTACAGCAATGGAGGCACCTACATCGCCAACGCGATGCTGCAGAATTCATTCACTACATCCTGCCCAGGCTTATGCAGGGGCAACAGCCAGGCTTGTGGCAGGCCAGAGAGATGTGTGAGGGATGCATACGTGTCACAGATGAGGGCGATCTTCACTGTCCCATACCCATTCATACCAGTGAGGGGGACATCTGCCACCTGCAATGGAGCATCGATAAGTGGCACCATCAGGCCGCCCCCCGCGCACTAGTGCCTCCGGCGCCGAAGATAGTGATCCTACAACTGCTGAGGTTCACAAATCACTCAGCTGATATCATCAGGGATCTACGACCTCTTCGAGGCCACCATGGCCTAGTGCACCTCCCCATGTTCCATCCCACGGGAGTGCATAGCCAGCAAGTGCCCTACCAGGTCGCCTCGTACCAAGCGCACTTCGGTACAAGTCCGGATCGGGGACACTACCGGTCGGTGCTGAGAGGTCAAAAAGAGTTTGGTCAGGGGCAAGACTGGCTTACTGATGATAATGTGTCAGCGCGACATGCAGCTGTCACTCCAGATGCTCAAGCATACATCGTGTGGCTCCGAATCAGCGAAGGAGCCACATACTCCGAGTACGAAACGAACTGAGTGATACCAAGCTGAGAAGGGTAGCGGAAAAGAGGCAGGGACGAGCCCACAGAGGCTCCGTTTCCTTGAAATCAAGGATTCGCTAGCTCGCTAAGCAGACTCGGATTGCCTGCAGCGTGGGGAATAAAAATACTACTACTACTACTACTACTACTACTACTACTGCCATCACTACCACTCCCACCACTGCCGCTACCATCAATACCACCACCACTTCCCCTACCACTACCACGACCACACCACTACCACTACCACTACCACCACTACCACTACCACTACCACCACTACCACTACCACCACTACCACTACTACCACTACCACTACCACTACCACTACAACTATCACTACCACTACCACTACCGCTACCGCTACCGCTGCCACTGCCACTGCCACTGCCACTGCCACTGCCACTGCCACTGCCACTACCACTACCACTACCACTACCACTCCCACTGCCACTGCCACTACCACT